CTTTTATGGTTTAGCTTGAAAGCCAACAAGTTACACATGTAATGACTTAAAGTTTGAAGCATTAACCAAAACAATAACCAAGAAAATGTATTATTTTGAGCTTCATTGCAACCACATTTTTTTTAAAAGAAAGACACCACTTCTGAGCTTCCACCCCAGTGAACACCAAACATCCTTCTAGAAAAMATCTTTCTGTTTACTAAATGGAGTTGGCCTGTTGCCGCTATCATTAATGTGCCAAAACTTCATCCTTTCTTTAGCCTGTYTCACATGGAACAAATCTGTGTCTGGAATAAGACTTTCTAACCACAGAGTGCCGTTATCWAAATGTCCATTAAGTCATTTTTAGATAAATTTTCAAAAGTACTTTGCTCACTTACAGAAGATGTTTTCAAGAAGAATATGGTATTGACGGACACTAACGGCAATATCTTTTTTTATTTTTCATAGCACTTCATTCTGTATCTATTATACTAAACCAAACTGTTAGCTTTTAGATTGTCAAAAATACAAAAAAAGACCAAGGTATAAAGATGTGAACTGTTTTTTTYCCCCACTTTTGGAGCAAGTTTAATTTCCAGGCTTTTCAAATGTATCCACTTCATTAGAAACTSCAGTAAGACTTTCACTTCAGGGATGAGTAACCTCTGAATTTCATTACTCTGCGGCAGGCTTCTTTTGTCACGTCTTAAAGGTCATTTCCGGGTGACAAGCTTTGAAATGCTGAAGAGTGTTAGTAGACATAAAAGAAACAAATTAAAGGTGGCAACATTTTCTGTACTGAAAAAAGAAACAAATATATTTTGAATAATAGTACAAACGTATCTAACATAAAAGATCCAGAAAATGAGTCAATTGTATTTAGAATTTATTTTCCAGCAACATTGTTTTACATAAGCAAAGCTTTATATGTTCAAGCAAAAAGTAAATAGCTGCCCATGATCTAATACAAGATATATTGTAGAAATAGTATTAATACTGCAACCAATTTTATAATAAGAAATGGCTGGATTTGTAATACTGGTAGAAAAAAAAGTTAATCTTTCTTTATTTCCTAATAAACGTGACAACATACTAAAAAACTTCACTGACTTGGGTTTTTAGTCAATATTACCATTCACTGTTTGAAACAAAAAAACTCTAAAAAGACACAATGGCATGTCTTTAAAAGTTTGTTATTAAATATTTTAATTGATGCAAGTACTTTCTGCAAGAAAAATATTCTTTACGCTGCAGTATGTCTTTATTAGAAATGTGTCCTATTTACTGACAAACAAAGTGAAAATGTGACCGTCTGAATGTGTGCGAGCGTACCCGCGCCCTCCTGTGAATCTGTGTGAGTGAGTATATTTAAATGGGCCACTGCATCTCGACTTAGATCCACCGCGAGTGCAACGTTAACACATCAAGCATGATTAATCTCCCGCTCTCATCTACAATCAATCACACACACTTGCAAATCTACACGCCACGCACACACATACTCAGAGGCAGAGAAATCACAGAAATCAGCTGCTTTCCCCCCCTCGGCTGCCATCTATCTCCTGCCGGACAGAAACAAATCTGTCTTGATGTTAATATTTACATAAATCATGCTTAGCCCTTTTGGACACCATGCTGATGATAGGTGTTTCTGGAAAATCGGCGTGGGTGAAAAATCTACTACTTAGAGAAAAGTGTCATTGAGTAGCTAATAATGACCCATGTCAACGTCATCAATCTGCGGTGGGCTCGGAGAGGGACAATCCGTTTTCACGCCATGCAGGGGGCAACTTAAACATCCTATAACTGAGTGAAACAATGGCTTCACATGCAAGGACCAAAGTCAGAATTTCTGAAGCAAAGTATTGTGGATGTTTGATGTTCAAACTCCCCTCACGCTAACAATGAACTGTTTGGTCTCATCTAGCTTTGAAGCCCAAATATCACTGGAGCTTTGTCTTTTATTTCTATCAGGAACACTGAAACAATAAATACACCCTCTCAAAAACAATGTCAGAGAGAATGTGTGTATTGGAATGAGTCAGATGGACGCAGACTAAGGTTTTTAAGGCATGAACTTAACAAGCGCAAGCCTCCCTCACGTCTCCCAGTCTCTGGTTTAAACCCTCACCTGCACTGGGTAAAGTGAAAAGGGGTGGAATAACAGCCAAATGAGGACGATGTAAGATCAAGTTGGTTACATCGAGCTATGCCGCAGACCTAATTGGCGAGCGTGACAGTGTGTGGAGCTTGTCATCTCCAATCATTAGGCCTGTCAGAGATCCATCAGATGCTCAGCTAATTAGGAGAACGCTAATGAAGCTGGCAAAACAACTCCTCTTTTTAGCTGGCTGAGTGCACCGCGACACCAGGGTGGGAGATGTATAAAGTGGTGGCGATGATGTGGAGGAGATGATGAGGTCTTCTGGAAAGGAACTTTAAAACACAACATTGTTTAAAATCTTGAAAGTCTTACAACCTACCAATAACAGCTGCGTATTCTAAGAACTTGCCTTTGATGCTAAAGGGGATCTATACACTTTCTGTCGGGTAATGGGATCCATTTCTGCAGATCATTGTCTCCCTTTTCTCGTTTCAAAGACCAAATTAGGTTTCTGCATTTAAAAAAAGAGGAAAAAATCCTAAAAAAAAATGAAACAAAGTTCTAATCAAGACCTATAATTTGCAGCCTTCCCATAACTCTTGCCATTACCAGAGCGCAATCAGTTTGTCATCGCTTCKTTGTGTGGCACCCAGTTCTCCTAAACCTTACAACTTGCAGCTGGAGTGAGGAAGGGAGGGAGGCAAAGAGTAGGAGATGTGTGTGTGTGTGGGGGGTGGTGGGCATAAAGAATAGACAGTTGCCAATAATCTAAAATGAAACTCCTCCTACGCTTTGTGGTTTTTCTTCTTTTTTTTGTCCGCTCATCAAAGAAATAACTGCCTCATTTTCCTTTCCGCGCTTGCTGCCACCCCTCTCACAACCTTATTCCAGATGAAAACATTTTCTTTCATCCATCCATCCATCCATCCATCCATCCATCCATCCATCAACTCATTCCTCAACCCCACCCACTGTGTCCATTAAGGCTGAAACATTTTGATCAAGTAAGGCTCTGGGATGACAATACACAAGACTCCCTCAGTGTGTGTGTGTGTGTGTGTGTGTGTGTGTGTG